CCGCCATGGCCGCCGTCGGTGGCGGAGGCTGAGCCCTTACTGCTGCTTCTTCTTCTACAAGTGATGAAGAGTCCATTGCTCAATGAGGATTTTTGAGGCAATTTCAAGCCTTTTAGGTTTTCTAAGGGCCTGTTTGGATTCGTAGGGGGTGAAGGGAAGTTAAGGGAAACTGAGTGAAGATTTTGCTAGGGTTTAGAAATGGGGAATTTGAGACGATCGCAAGATTGCGGGAAACTGAGCGTAGCGATTGGGATCGGGTTCGGGTTGCCTTTTATGTTTCCGGGTCAAACTTGACTTTAAATATTCGACCCGAATTGTTTTTTGCTTTTTTTTCTTTTTTTTTTCCTCTTTTTTCCCCTTCTTCTTCTTTTGGGTTAAAGTTGGATGCGTATTTCTCGGAAGTAATTTGGATTTCGGAATTACCGACGTGAAATATCTACAATACTTCAATTTCGTATAGGATCCTCTCAAAATAAGTTTTAAATTATATTATTTTTTATAACCGATCGTTAGAATCATATTGAAATCTCTCAACCATCCGAATGATCTACTGTATATAAATTATATAATATTTTTTTAAGACCTCAAATATTAATAGTTCAATTTATGCTCCAACATGTTTTTTCCCCTCTTTATGAGGGAACTTCCCCGTAAACCTTCGGACCACCCAACCCCCGGCCATGGACAATGGACACTCCGAACGCATCATCGCGGGGTATTTTAAAAAATTAATTTCCTATGGTGTCCCAAGAAAATCGAATATGAGGAATATTACTCATACGCATCTTATCAACTCCATTGGACCCTCTTGGATATGCCCCAAATGTTTTAAGATGTCTTAAGTTACACTTTAACTGAAATTTTGTGCAAATTTGCTATTGCAATGTCGTAAAATCATACTTATTGATCAGAAAAAATAACACTAGAGACACACCCCCAGGCACACCCCCAACCACAATCCCCACCTGCTACAGTACAGGGGGTCCCACCTGAGATTTTTTAAAAAATCTCAGGTGGGGACCCCCTGCACTGTAGCAGGTGGGGGTATTGTGGTTGGGGATGTGCCTGGGGGTGTGCCCCTAGTGCTCCTCGATCAGAAATATGCATTTATAACAAAAACAACATTTCGTTCAATAAAATAGCAACAACAATAACAATATAACAACAGTGGAAGTAATAATAAAATAACAACTAATAATACGCTCGCTTAAATTGCTTAGGAAGCAACATGAAAACAAATACGAAATAAAATGATTTTTTCCCCCTCAAATTACTCACTTCAAAAATGGGAATATATTGGTTTGTTCATATATCACATATTCAATATCACTGAATCGCCATAAAAGCATCCTATATCTAATCATTAACGATCAGCAAACTAGAAAATTTTAGGAGCTTCTGCCAATACAATTTACAGCTTAGGAACCTCTTTGGACTGAATATGCGTAGAGGTGAACCAGACAAAACAAGGTTTTTATAGAACTAAACCAAGACACATTGAGGAAAAAGATTTTGGCGGTTGTATGATTTTTCTTCTTCCCACAATTTGATTCAGATGCCAACGTCAGCAGAGCAACGACCAACTAAATGATGAAACTCAAATATCTACACGAACACAAAACTACTATAACAGTTGTCATTCAAGCTGCAAAAAACCCCAATTTTGAACGGTCTTTACAAATTTTATTGCTCCATCAAAAAAGCTCAGTTTGGATGATACAAGGTAAATTCATCAACAAAAACTAAAAAACTAATTGCGTTTATTAATAGTATCCAGCATCAACCTCATTAACCAGCATCCCCATGAAAAATGTTCCAATGAAGCATTACGGAGAAACAAAATAAAATCTGTTTTCCACAAAGTTAAGCTATTTATGCTCATATTCTCTCCACAGTTTGACATAAGACCCCTTCAAAGAAGAGAGGAAGAACAAAAACTTCAACCGCTTTCACTCATTTCTTCAATTTCGTTGAGTTATCCAAGGCCAAGTCCTGCAGGTTCAGTAACAGCTCGTCCGAGTTTAGGAAAACCTTGTTGGCTGAATTTGAAATTGTGTGAGCAACTTCTCTAGCAGCCTCAATCTGCCTCAGTACGAGGAAAGCAGGATTCTTTGCAATTGCTTGACCTATCAGTTGAGCACTCGTTGCCTCCCCCTATAAATGAGAAAGATGAAGCCAAGATTATTATTCTGAAAGGAAAAAGAAAAACAAAGAAAGAGAGGGATTTATCAATCTTAAAGTTTCTTCCATTTCACCAACTAAATTGTGATGAGGATTGGAGTCAAAATTATATGTTCTAACAAATCTAAGCAGGTTGAGCGCTGTTTTTCACTGGTCAAAACCAAGGCCATCTTTTTTCTTATAGAATTTCTCTAAAATTGCATGCATGATGGGATTTGAACATGTACTGATCTGATATCATCTTAAAATCTCTCACTCTGCATCGAAACTCTGCAGTTATGAGGAGAATTGAAGATTATAGCTTATACTCTAACAAAAACTGTAAATATTTCGTTAATATCCCCATAAGCTTGAGCATGGTACAGGGGTTTAGAAGAATGTAACTGGGATATTACTGAACAATAATCAATTCATGGAAACTGGACTATGGCACAATGAATGAACATCACCAAGAAAAAAGATATATGTTTATGATACAGTTTTATTGCCACTAGATAAATGCTATAAGAAAATCTGAGTTGATAAATGTGACAAAATATTATGCAAATTACTCTCACCTGAGCTCGGATAATAGCACTTTTCTTATCCTGCTCTGCCTTCTCCACAATAAACTTGGCCCGCTCAGCATCTTGTGCTGCCACTTGTTTAGCTTCAATTGCATGAGTGAACTCCTTCCCAAAGCTCAAGGTTGTAATGGAGACATCATCTAATGCGATGTTGAAGTTCCTAGCCCTCTCAGTCAATATTTTCCGGATTTCCCTACTCACAGTCTGCACAATCAGCACTGGTCCTTCAAATTATTTCCATAGACAGCAATCATTTTTTAATTTATAATAAATAATATCAATAAGGGTACTTTAACTGCTATGATATGAAGGGCTTAGGGATGCTATTACAACACAAATATATGGTGCCAGACACAGTAACCCGCTAAAATCCAAACACACTGTAAAATGTAGCAATGTTGGCAAAATACATGTCAACGTTGAAAATACACGCTATCATGTAACTTGATATCCTGCGTTGTGTAAACTTAGCAAACCTTAACTGTCATGTAACATTTTGAAATAGCTCAGACACGTAATGCTCCATTATACAATATAACATACACTAATTTCAATGTAATGAGCATTGTTTCAATATAACATAATATTTTACTATAACTTACAGTAATAGTTTAAGAATATTTTTTTGTTTACTTCGTTTAAGAGTCGACGTAGTCAAGTATTTACTTTTGGATTTGTTAACCCTTGATGACTATTTATTGTTAGCTATTGATATTTGGTGACATTTTTATGCTTGTGATTGTGAATTTATGATTTGTAAAGAACAAAGTGAATGTGAAATTACGAATGAGATATGTAAATTTGTGATGATATATCTGAACATTTATGTTGGTATGTGGTAGTAAATTAGTAAAGGCTGTATTATATTTTATAATTTTTTAAAAAATAATTTTTATATTTCAAAATTATTTTCCTTTTTACTGAAATTATTGTAGTCGTTTTTAGCATTTGTAAATTGAATAAACATATAACTTATGACACCTGTTATGCTATGTGCGCTTTAAACTATCAAGAGATCGAGCAGTACATATATGTTATTGTTATTTTTCAGCATTAGTATGTGTATATTATATGCCTTGTTAATCATAATTATTAACTATTAACTAGTGTTGGTTAGATGGTTTTAACTTTTGTTCTTATTGACTAAGGTTCAATCCCTTGTGACAACATCTTTTTTATCAAAACATATATTTTATTTTCACTAAAACAAGCCCTTTCACGTGAAACTGCTATGCTAGGTTCGCCTGATTCAAACATTAATTGGTTGGTTCACCTGATTTTGTTTATAATATCCCGTCTTTCTTGATATTGAACTATATACGTCCCAATTCCGACTGAACCAAGCATATCGGCCACTTTGGTCCAACTCTAACAACAACGGTTCGGCTATTTCATAAAGAACCCACAACAGTAAATTGATATATAAAACAATTATCTTCTATCAGAGGGAGAAACAAATATCACATCATGCATCTCTTTGAGATGAATAAAAGTTTATACAATGAATAGTGTCAGACATGTTTCGACATAGATATTTTAAACAAGGCAGAAACATCAATCTTTGGGAGGGACAAGTCCCTGCATAATTGCATTTCATAAGTTAAATGTTTCAAGAATGATTTTCACTTAAGCATACCTCTCTTTGTGTGATCAGCTGACTGGCATTGTATTGGGCAACCACAGCTTTCAGAGTTTCATGGATAATTGATGGCAGAACCCTCTCATTGTAGTTCTCACCAAGAGTCCGATATATTGTGGGCAATTGATCAGGCAAGGGGCGGGTAAGAACTCGAAGCCCAATTTTAACCTGCAATTGAAAAGATTAGTCTACATAATTGTATGCCACTTTAAATAAGTTGACAGGAAAGAGAATTACTGAGGAAAATTAAGAAAGGACTGCTGGAAAAACCTTAATGAAAGCATGTTATGTTGATAATAATATACTCAACGAACACATGTTTTATATGAATAAGAAAGATAAAATTGTTTTACTGGTGTAAACTAAGGTGCATGGCATCTAATTCTTCGCAAAATAAAATGAGAGAGCAGGGTGAGAAACATCTAACATCTGGGCTTGACCCCTATTTAGCATGCTTCATGGGTGTTAAGCCTGCTTTATATCTCTCACTGTTCATTCAGTACAAGAATATGAAGACTTGTCCAGCATATTAAGAGTTATTTCTTATGGGATTAAAACTCATATGTTGTTGCTCAAAAGGGTATTCCTTCATCTCCTTCCTCTCTCTATCACCACTCACAGGTCATAATTGTAGTGCAACGGCCAGCAATGACTCTCATATTCAGCATGGAGATGAATTCATATGTAATAATGAATAGGGATCTGAATGATCGGTCATAATTTCAAATTCTTAGCCTTTCACTTTCATCTATTATTTCTTTTCAATGCTAAGCAATGTCGTAATAATGCACATCAAACTGGACCTCCAAGTCATACATCAAGCTTTTAGGATTCAAAAAGTTGAAGTACCTAAAACATGTATTAGAGTTCCGAAGCATTGTGTCTAGTTGCTTAGTGCAGAGAACCAGATACACTCCTCTCTTGAAGCAATCCTATTTCAATAGATCATTATACTCATTTAAACTGAGTGCTACATCTCATCATTAGAAACTTCTCTCCGTAACAATTATATTTCATCTGTCTCCATTATTAAAGGAGTCCTTTAGCAATTTATAAATGCACTTTCATCATTGTCAGTTCCTCTACAGTAATTGTTGTTTGTTGATCATAAAGTACCTTTACTCCCAGTGGTTGTTTGTTCATAACAAAGTGCACATTGTATCGCACATTAATCGAGTGATGAGGAGTTCTCATACAAAGGATTGTTTTCTTCACTTCTTTAGCAGGCGGTACTTATTAGTATTACTGCTGTGAAAACCTTAAGAAGTTAGAGATAACAGATGATAATTTCATAGGAAGTTAGGAACAGCCTCTCTCAGAGTTTGTTGCGGGAGAAAGTCTCAATACCTATGACTTTAGTTTCTTTAGACAACTATCTGGAGTAAATCTTAGAATCAGAACTTGCACTGCCTATGTCAGCTGTTTCTTATGTACTCTCGGGGAGGAATTAGTAAACACTGCCTTGGGACAGCCACAAAGGAAACAGTTAAAGTGACATGCACTTTCTCCCAAAGGAGAAACCAATCTAACAAAGATAAAATAAGAGCAGCATGAACAAACATAATAAAAAACATAAGCGCAGCATGAACAAACATAATAAAAAACATAAGTGCAGCATGAAATCATAGTCCATAACTAAATGCACATAACGTTATCAAGACTGATAATTTAATTTTACACATTAACAAGTAGCAATATTAGATAACTTTGAATAAATTGAATATAAAGAACTAAGTACTTAAAGTTATTTTCTGACTATTTTCGCAAAATTTTGGATAGCGGGTTTCTTTCGACAAATCCAGATAATAAGCTGAAAGTATTGGTGAACAACATATACTTAACGGACTCATAAGTTAATAGTACTCAAGTTCATTGATAATGAGAAAGAAGAGCTACCATTTGTAGATCACGGCTTCCAGAAGTGCTCTCCACAAGATGCGGTCGGGCACGAACATCATAAATAATAGGCCTCTCGAACCAAGGAATAATTAAATGAGTTCCCTCAGGATAAACCTGCATAAGCGTTTTCCTCATTTCATTTAGTTAAACTCATGCCATCAATGTGTTTTTCCAGTATGGAAAAGGGGAAAATACATAAAACTTGCAAGAAGACAGGACATAAACTTCAAGTAAAAACCGACAAGAAATATACTTTGAATTATATAGTCCGTGGTTTTGAGTATTAATACTATGTTTCAAGTTATCATGGTTCTCCAAGTAACTGCACCAAATATCATGAATAAAACCCATGAGTACATATTAAGATGAAAACTGGCCTCACAATGATATTCACGATAAAGTTGGAACGCCCTGATCCTGTGTAGGTATTAGTAACAGAATCTTCAATCTATTTTCATGAACTTCGAAAAAATATTATGTCCAGAAGGATGAGAATGAAGAAAGGGGCGTTGCAAGTAAATGGAGGAATGGAGGGTAGAAAATCAAATTTTAGGTGTAAAATATCAACCCAAATGGAGAAGATGGATGGAACAAAATTGAATTGTATCCATGGAAAATATAAATTGATTTAACTGACTAAAAAATACTCTATGCATCAAAAAATGAACTGCCCTGAGTAATAAAGAGATAAAAGACTGCCCTAAACAGAACACTGTAAAATAAGAATTTGACCAATATTTTCATCAGCTTTGTACCAAACAATATTAGCTTTGTAGAATGCTCTAAATAAGGAGGCTCTATCAAAAGATCCAGATTTTTATGAACAGGAACTAGCCACCTTATGTCAACTCTCTCAGCTAGTGTCAAATTTCTAGTAGAAGAAAAGAAACCATCACATCATTAAACCAAAAAGCAGCCTCAAAAATTTATGTAGAAGAATGAAGTCTTAGAGGAAGGAGTGTGATAGGATATAAGAAAGGGCATTCAATAACAATTGACAATATAAAGCTTGAAAAACCAAATAGAAGACTTTCTCTAAAAATAAGAAAGGACGAAAACGGAATTCAGAACAAGCGTCAGCACTCATGACCATGTTTCCTTATGCTCCCTTGTCTACATGTACATGCTCATCAGTCTGTTTTGAAACTCTCTTTATTTGATTCAGAGGGTTCTCACAAAGCTGATCAGCAAAGACTCTTCACTGTTAGCAACGGCACTTTAAAATTGTTTTTACCTAGCCCACTTTCCCAAAATATTGTCAACTAGAAACAATGGTTAAGGTTGAGAAAATGAAGAGGAAAAAAAGGCTGGCCATGGTTTCCTGATGTCAAAATTTCATTAATGATGCCAATATCTGACCGAGACTACTATGATTAAGAAAATAATCAATGATATAAAGTCTTGAGAAATAGTCAGCAGCTACCTTATCAATCTCTTCAGTAAAAGAAAGAAAAAGGGTAGACCAGAAAATGACAATGATAATTTATCAAGCCTTCATAATCAACCTATTGCAGACATTCAGTTTAAAAAAGCAAGTAAACTTCTACTTTTTTATACTCTCTTCGTAACTATCTTATCAAGTACGAAAGTTAATTCCACATCCTTACACAACAAAGTCGATTAGATCGAGTGCAGACCACTTGAACCTCTTTTATATATTGTTCCTTTATTTCACCCTAGTAATAACTATCATCATAGTAGGAAAATGAAGCACCGTCTTCCATGGTAGTCACCAACCCTGATGGGTAAAAATTTTATGCGTTCCATCTCATAAAAGAAAAAAGATTCTCATGAACATAATGGAAAAACAATAATACTTCCTAAAAATGGAAAATTGAGGCAAAACAGAAATTATGCATCTTGCAGCTGATAATGCGTCATGAGAGTGTTGTGAAGGCTTATTTCTTTTAGCCAAAGTGGCTTTTTAAGTTAGTTTTTTTTTCATATCTACTTGTTTGGTAAAATACCAAATAAGTTAGCTTATAAGCCCCATTTAAAAGACTGGGATAATGGCAAAAAAATAAAAATAAAAAGTTTGTGCCACCTTCTATTATGAGCTATGCACATAATAGCATCAGCAAATGTACTACTATAAACAAATGCAACTAATGCAAGCTCCTATTTCTCTCCTAAATCGCAACGCCTACACAAATTCCTGCAGATCTAGCAATCAAACATCGATTAAACCTAATTTACTTGACATAAGTCAAACATAGAGGCAGTGACATCACTAAATCAAACATCATATTTACACAATTGCGGAATAATCGAAGGGAATCAATTAATTATACCTTTTCTTTTATTCCATCAAGGCGATTGAAAACAATAGCTCGATGACCACCATCGACATTATAAAGACTGTTGAGAGCAGCGTAAACAGCTCCGCCTCCGATCAGAGCGACCTTGATCAGCGTCCCCACTGCTCCAGCGCCGCCTGGGACATTAGGGACCTTGGCGTTCTTAAAGTTCATATCTTTCTTCAATTTTCCTGAAACCCTAGAAATTTTTAGGGAGGCGCTGTCAAAGGCGAGGTTTTGGGGGTTTTGGGCTAAAAAGGGTAATGAGGACTGCTGGTCTTAATTGGGGAAAAAGAAAGGATTTTGAACGGTTGGATTTAAACGGTTTAAGGGAGCTTTTGATCCAACGGTTCATAGATAACGAGTGAGTGGACTATGCAATTTGGAAGCTTAAAGCTCGAGGCACTTGCGACTTGGGCTATAAGGTTGCCGGACAAATTTTCAAATTAACCTGTTTTGTGTCTTAATCTCAAAAAAAATCTGTTTCAAACTTAATTTAAAAAACCGACCCAGTTAGGCTGAATCTGGGTCGATTTTTGAAAAAAAAAGTTCTTAGACTTCACGGGAGTTGAAGTCTCGTGTCGTAACTTCAACTCCCGTGAAGTCTGGGAACTTTTTTTTCAAAAACCGACCCAATTTCAGCCCAACTAGGTCGGTTTTTAAATTAAGTTTGAAACAGATCGATTTTTGGGATTTTTTGGCAAAGAAGTTTGTTTTGAAAATTTGTCCTAAGGTTGCCGAATAGGACGCCGACATTAATTGGATTGAACGGATTAAATTAATGAAATTAAATAAGTTTCGTCGGTTTGATTCGATTTTTAAATTTTATTAAGATCGATTTTATTTTTAGAACTTTTAATCTTAATTACCCTAATGGAACTCTATCTTGATAATCCAGATTTGCTCCTTTTTTTTAGTTATTGGTCTATAAAAATGTTTTTTGTTATTGTCAATATTTTTCCCTTATTTCATTGTTAAATTCATTTATCGATTTCCGTAATTTGCATCAAAACTCATTTCCTTCATGATTGAGTGTAATTTGAAACTAATTAGGCTTGATTGGTTGGAGGTGCAATAAGGGAATGTGAGGTAGGGTGACATACATCTCGCGATTTTCGTTTGGTTCGAGAGAGGATGAGTGGGAGTATATAACATTTTCTTGTTTGACCGAGGAGGTTGAAAGGGAAGGTGGGGCATTGAGTTAGTTAAAATATGATAATACCTTTTATGATGCAAAGAGATATAGTTTGGATAATGAAATATAAGTGGTTAATTACGTAAAATATACGAGGATATAAAAGTCCTTATAAGATAAATTATATTTCTCTTCATCTTGTCCCTCCAAATTGTGGGGATTTTCTCTCTCTTCACTTCCTCATTTCTGGTTTATTTTTACATTTCTCTCTTGTCACTCTATCTCACATTCCCTTCTCCTATAAAAACTTCCTACTAAAATGGATTTTTAGCTTTGTTCTATTGATGCATGACAGCCAAAATCTGACACCAATTGTAACGTTCCAACCGGCGATTATTAATAAAGCATTGCCTGTAGAAGCGCCACTAAAAGCATTGCCTGTAGAAGCATCACTGAAATCCTCAACTACATCTCCTCCTTTCTCGTAGACCAATTGATCACCAAGTAATGTAAGAAATCTCGAGAAAATTTTTTCAAACAAAGAGCTGGCAATATAACCACATAAAAAATAAACAAGTTCACAAAGACAAGGGATTTACATGTTTCGGCAATCGCCTACATTCACAGGAAGATTTGAGTCTTCTTTTATTCTAGAGATACAAGATAATCTATTATTGTGATCTAGATAGATCCCACAAGAAAGCCTCCCTAAATCT